AGATAGTGTGTGTGTGAGAGAGAGAGAGAGATAGAGATGGGGGGGGGTACAGTGCCCCCTTTTTCAAATGCCCCTTTTTCCATAGGAAAAGAGCCCCTTCCCCTTTTCACCTCTGATAAGTGCCCCTTTCATTTTGACACGCGCCCCTTTTCCTTTGACAAGTTTCCATTTTCCTTTGCAATAAGAGCCCCTTTTTCACTTTTAAGAAGTGCCCCTTCACCTCTGATAATTGCCCTATTTAAATTTGAGAGGTGCCCCTATTAACAACAAATGCACATTTCCTTTTTTTAAAGTGCCTCTTTTTCATTCTCATAAGTGCCCCTTTTAAAATATGTTCAATGCCCCTTTTCAGGTGTGATATGTGACCCTTTTCACCTCTGATAATTTCCCTTTTAACAATGATAAAATTCCAGCAAGTGCCCTTTTTGTTGGTGCTGCCCCCCGCTTTGGAAGTCGCTCCGCCGCCCCTGGACGTCATATTGCTCAAGTTGTCAAAGTGATGCATCCTCTCCACACTGCGCGCATGTATTGTCTTAGCCCATTGTCTTAGTGCATTGTGACGTCATATTGCTCAAGTTATCGAGGTGATGCATCCTCTCCACACTGCGCGCATCCATTGTCTTAGTGCATTGTGACGTCGCAGCTTCGGTACTGAGCATGTGCAGAAACCGTAACCATGGTGAATAATCCATGGACTAAGTTAGGCCAGGTTTAAACCATGGATCAGTTAGGCCACCTTTCGAGAAATGAAAATGATTTAGGTCAGCGGCCTAAGTTAAGCCTGGCCTAACTAAACCACGGTTTAACTTAGGCCAGGTTTAACTTAGGCCGCTTTCGAGAATACCACCCTTTAAGTCTTGAAACCTTATACATGAGCATTGTTGAATTATACACATGCTGTAGTTTAGACAATAAACATGTATGCCTGCCCAATGTGTCAACATTATGAGTGTCTTACTCAGTGGGGTATATATAAGGGGTGGCAGAGGGGTTACGTGCCCAGAACGACACTTAAAGGGCCGCAACAAAAATAAGGAAAACAAGAAAGAGAAAGGAGAGGAAAGTGAGAACAAAATATTGATCTTAAGTTCATGAATGGATCATGGTTTGAGAAAGAAGTCAATAGAAAACTACATGTACTTAACCCTCATAATAATGTAGACAAAATGATGAAACAATCTGCTGTTCGACTACAACCAAGGATTATTAAAGTTCCAATATTGGGGCAGCGAGATTGAATTAAGTTGAAGTTACATTTTGGCCAAAATGAACATTGTTTATACATGTGTATATAATAATAATAATAGCTCACATTTATAATGCGCCTAATACTACGTTTCTAGGCGCGGAACATATATATACATTTTGATTTTGTTTTACTCGCTTCGCTCGCTTATGACATTCATAAACAAGATGCTTGATACTCAGCCACCAGGTCTACCCCCCCCCCCCCCCCCCCCACATGGACATTTTTTTTATTTTTTGCACACTCACTTCACTCACTCGTGAAATATATAAACAGGATGGTTTGCATTCAGCCACCAGCCCTCAGCCCCCGCCCTTCCTCTCATATGAAGCTCATATTTTGAATACAGTTTATATAGCGACATGGAACCCGTAACATAGATCAAGAGCAAAACAAGTTTTGGTGATTGATACACTTTAATAAGCGAGTTCGTAAATAGCTCGGGACCGCATGACCCCAAAATATCCACAGATCTTTTACACGATGGATACTTTCCACGTGTGCATTTTATAATAATCACTGCCGAAGTGATGGAGGTGCTTCACGAATACCTTTTGTTTGCCTCTTGAGAAGAATACTTCCACCTGTGTATCAGATATATTGGTGCATAAATGAATACTGATTACATAACTTTCATGAGCACGATCCGAGTATTCGTCTCAATGGTTTTACAATTTGGGTACGAATGACCTTGATCTGCCCATGCGCAAATCATAATTACGAACTCGCTTATTCAAGTCCACTCAATTACAGGCGTGAACGGTGAAGGTACGTTCATATGCGCTCTCTCGAACTCTTGAGACAATGAGTATGCCCTTCACTACATACTTCAAGGACCATTTGAATAAACGATTGACGCATCGACATACATTAATTCATACGACCTAGTTACACTTCCAATAACAAGAGATGTATGAGTACAAACAGAATATCGCATGCTTAAAGAGAAGTTTGATTAAATATGTCATTAAAAAAGGTAATTTGTGAAAAAAAATTTCCTTCTCTATTCTTCTCATGTTATTGTTGAAGAATATCACAAACATAATCTCCTGAAAAGTATAGCTCGTTAAAATTAATGCACTCATATTCGAAATATGACAGGAAATAGCTGAAAGTGTTTCAACCAAACTGTCATGCCACCTGTTTGTGTAGTTCCATATACTGATTTCTAAGTTCAGTGTATGTGACTTTCCACAAGACTGACTTGGTAAATTTCTTATTGATGATTAAAAAACCTCACATTATACGTCAATGCTTACCAGCTTATGTAATCGACGTTTTCAAACCACTTCCACATAGTTTCTTTCACAATGTAATGGAATGACCAGAACTCAATGCTATGTTTAAAGAAGATTTGAGTACCCATGCAATTTAATGGTGAAAGAGAGTGTCTAGTAGTTATTCCGAATCGTGCCGTCAAAACGAACAATTAACACGTATCGAGTATTTTGGGATCATCAAAAGTCTAAACTTTGCTGAAAGCGACATAGGGTACGTGAGACTATTAACATGTGGCAGCAGCCTATCGCATTTGGGTCCAAAAGTGTGAATCATTTAATACTTGATATTATGGGAGTTCTTTAAAGCCCCACTGTACTAATTGTGGCTACTTGCTCCCTCTATATAGAAAACTTCCCAAATCAGTGCCTGTTGGTCCCCCATGATCCTCTTTTTCTTGTGTTAATTGAGAGCTGAGTTGATGAGATAGCCACCTGTCAGTGACCTCGCTGGGTGGTATAATCCCTTCTGGCCGAACTAGTACAGACGACCTTTAAGAGCAACCCTTTCCATGGAACAATGAATATGCTGAAAGCATTTGATTTTGTTCCTCATGAGCAAAGGACGAAAGGTAAATCTCAGGAATTACCTCCCATTATCAAGAGAAGTCAACCTTCTCTTAAAGATGAAGTTGTTCTGGATATGCATGCGATTGCATTGTAAAAGAAACTGTCTTTAAAGCGATTGAAAAAGGTTGATCACGTAGCACATAAGTATTGGTGTATAATGTGAGGTTTTGGAATCATCAAAATCATAACGAAAACTGGCCCAGTCTCACTGGGCCAGTCACAAGCACTCTACACGGAAATGTATATTATGGGACTACACAAACATGTGACATGAAAGTGCAGTCCACAAGCTTTAGCTGCTACTTGTTACACATACAGGTTTATTTCGGATAAGAGGGCATTTGAAAAGCTATCCTTTTAAAGGACATTTTTGTATATGATATACTCTTTCACACTAACATAAACAAAGAGTTGAAAATCCCACAAACTATTTTTCAGCTTTTTCCAGAACTCAACCTTCTCTTTAAAGGGGCCGACTTCGAATGATAAGGGTCATCGTGTCCGCTAGGGTGGTCGCGTTACACGACCTTTCATGAACCGAAAGCGGAATATCACGCGACCTTTCGTAGATTTGCCGTGGGATCACAAAGTGTCGGTCAAATTAGACCGAACCATTTGTAGATGAGAGGGATTTATTTCACAAATATTACCCCCGAAATTTCGTGAATAAAGGGGCATGTTTTCACAAAGGTCGGGGTACGAGACAACCCGACCCGACCCGATGACCCGAAGATTCGAAGTAAGCCCTTGAACATTTACACTCTCTTGAATGACTCATTTAAAAAACACGTGACCAGAGAGTCACTTTCACTCGCAATCACGTGATTTCTACACCACTTGATAAACACGTATTTCAATACAATTAATCAATGACAGAGTTGGTAGGATGAGAACTCAAGAGAAAGTTGTATGTCGGTTTCAATAAATATGTTCAGTTTATCCGATTCATAGTGGTCACTGAAGGTCTTCTTGGCTAAGACTTCGGTTAGCACATTCCAATAGATGTCCAAGATCTACTCTTCCTTTTATCTACCATTCTGTCGATTCAAGATAAATAGCAGCTGATGACGGCAATAATATCATTAGTCATTATTAGCAAACACCGTACATAACAAATAGTCCCCAAGTACACATCCTTCAATCTGTTATAATGCTTTACAGATGCATCAAACAAATGAGGACAATCAACAAGTTTTAGACATTTTTTATATTTTGTTGTTGATTACCTCTATAACATTACAATTGCATATCTAATGGATAAATCATCCGATAAGTTCTTTCTTTAAAAGAAATGTTGGATGGGATGGCGTGGGTGTGCTTGCGAGTGATAACACACATCAGTTGCAACCTCTGAATGATTAAAAGCATATATATATTGTATCTCTAAAAGTCACAGTTTTCGTGAAAAAGTGAACATGATGAAAAATAAATAAAAAATGATGGGCACAAATTTATACATTGAAGACTGTGAAGGAGACAAATGCAATCATAACGGATTAATGGCGAGTCTGGTCGGTGAAATATATAGGGATGGGATAAATCAACAGATCCATACACTTTCCAAAATTCTAGATTTACAAGGTTATGATGATGATTAGCTGTCAAGAAATACGATAATGATTACAGTATCACGCCCAAAATAAATCAATTCAGATGCGCTATGGAAGGGTCTCATGCACAATAGAATGCTGCTTCGACATTTACGCTAGCTTCAATTACTCCGAGTATTACTTCGTCAAAGATAATTATACATGTAAGTTTAGGATTAGGGTTGCAATCGGGTTTCAGATTAGGTTTAGGGTTAGGGAAATAGATGTATTATTCGGTCCATGGTAGGACCAAACAAAATTCTTCGCATACTCAAGTAAAGGCTATAATTAATGACATTCACATATAATGACCTTTACCTTTTTGTTCTTGCCTATGACCTTGTTGTCCATTCTATTTGTATTAGCGGTCACTTGAAAATCGACCTTTTCAACTTTCATCTTGTCGCGAACTATAGGGTGCCCTCCAGCGACTGTTATCACGCATATTCTGAGTGAGAGAAGAAAAAACAAAGGGAAATCCTTCAGTCTCGTTCAGTGGTTCTTTGCAATCAAGAAGGGTGTCTTGGCCACTGTAATATTGCAGTTTTTAAGGGGGCAGATGGATTGTTAAAATACAACATTGCGGTAAGTCTAATGCGTATTATTTCACCGATTATCTTTTGCAAATAAAAACAAAATCAGAGCAGGTAGTTTTTATTTAATGAAAAAAAAAAAATCGAAAATGATAGGAAATACTTTTGAAAGATCAACCCATCAAGGTACTTTCATCAGCCTTGTCCATCACATTTTGAAATGATTGTGAGAACGTTACATTGATGCATTACGTAATGCCAACATAATGTATTTGGGATGTACAAAAGGCAGGGTAGGCTATTTTGAAGGTGCCCTAGGTTGGTTTCTCGAAAGTATTTGTGATCGAGTATAAGACAACTTAATAAGAAAGTCATGAGTTTCTTGATATAGTGGCGGAATGATTTTTTTTTCTTAATTTCAAATATTTAATCTGTTTATAAAAACAAAATATACCCTTTTTCGGGGGGGGGGTGCTGATGTTCTCCTTAAATTTCATTCATTAACAAAATATATAAACAAATCGGCAAACGTATGCCTAATATGGAAGACCGTAGTCGAAATCCAATTCAATACACAACTTCAAAGTAAACAGTGAGAGCTCTCATAAAATTTACGAAAGGAAGCGTCTACATGAAATTCAAATAAGGCTTCCCGCGAACAAGATAATCAAATATAATTGAAAAAGGACATTTGCTTAAACGTCCGGAAAATGACGTCACTCCTACAGAGCACATTACACATCTCCCACGTGAGCAAGCATTCACTGATTAATGACGTCACGTTTATCCATTCATGATTTGCTTTCATTCGTCATTATTGACATTAAGCAGAAATAGACGGCTTACGAAGACCAGCAGCGCGTCGATGAGCGTATGATGTCATCGGCTTCCCGCCGTCTAGTCTAGCTTGTTGCTTGGGGAAACAGCATCAGTTGCTAAAGCAATTCGTCAGTCGCATGAAAAATGTCAGACTAGGGTTTAAAAGGGAAATCCAACCAAGTTGAATTGTGTGAAAACAGAGAAATCGAATACATTTAGTCTGAAGCCCGTGAAAGGATATAAGAAAATTATATAGCATTAGCCGCTTTTATATTATCTTACTAGATAAAAGTAGCCAGACAAACCACTTGCAGTTAATTAGAACCCCGGTCAGGTGATTCAATCAAGATTCTACAAATTACGGTGCACATTATCCATCAATCTCAATGAGGTTAGCATCCTACAGGGCATGTATCTAACACATGGGTGGAGAGAAGCAATGCAGATAAAATGCCAAGATCAAGTGCAGAGCCGGAGCTCGAACCAACGACCAGCTGTGCAAACCTAGTCACCTTTGCAAGTTACCGCCTGTACGACACTTCTTCAAAGTTATAAATTCTTAAAATGTTACGATCAAATACAAAATAAGGAACTCCATGATTACGATTTGGCGTGAAACATATCTCTCTCTCTCTCTCACTCTCTCTCTCTCTCTCTCTCTCTCTCCCTGTCATTAACCTGAAAAGTATCAAAGAATTAAAATCCCTCGTCTAGCCTAGGTTGTACATATAATTTATAAGGTAAACTGCCATTTTATACAAGAAAGGTAGGAGAATTCGTCATTCTGTTTGCTCTTACATGTAGGTCCTACCTATAAAATGGAATCGGTACATCTTCTTTACTGATAAGAAAAAAGAACTTTACCCCCCCCCCCCCCCCAACCAACCACAAACAAAAAGGGAAAAAAAATCTTCAAGATAAAAACTTGAAGAAGAAAAAAAAACTTGAAGAAAAAAAATAAGAAAAGAAAGTGGGAAAATAAGGGTGATAAAATATGCAAGTGAACGTAACAAGATTTTTGGAAGAATCTTTCTTTCTTTGATATGTAGCTTTCTTGGTGGGCGCCCCGCGAACTAATTATTCGAACTGATGGCTCAAAGCCTCAAAGGATTAAGGTGTCAGTCTCATTACCGCCGTGGCTTCGAAAATTTTGATTGGAATTGGTGACCTTCGTGATCGAATGTTCATAAAACGCCACGGTTTCCTCGAAAACGACTTCCGAGATCTTACATTAGTTTAAGAGATGAGTGACCAACGGGTGTACGTGATAGCGGTTTCGTTTAGGGATGTAATCATGGTAATTGCGAGTTCGGTGATAGAGTACATGCAGAGGATGTTAGACCGACATGATCATTTTGGGCGAGGGTCACACTAGTTACCCTACTTCTCACACCCCACTGGTGGTCGTAAACATGCTCTGCCAACTTTAGCTCAGTGCTATATATCGTTAAAGATGTAGGGTTTTGGGTTGCAATCGAGTTTTAGGTAATGTTTAGATTTTAGGGTTCAGGTAGGATTAGTGTAGAAATGACCCCGGAGCAATTTTGGCCGGAGCATGTATCCTAGAACCATCGCATTCCCTCTTTCCTTCTCTTTCTATTTCGTCATCTCCCTCCCCAGCTCTCCCTTTCGACCTTTCCTCTACTCTCAATCATGTTTCTCCTCCCCTCTCTCGTCTCCCTTCCCTCACTCTTATTCTCATTTCCCCTGTCTGCTTCCTTTTACCCTTCTCTATTTTCCCTTTCCCTTCTATTTCTTCAATCTTTTTCTAATATCTCCTAATCCACATTGTACTTTTCTTTTCTCTTCTTTCTTTCCATCCTGTTATAGACATATATTTCTAAAAGCATTTAGCACAGAGGCCTGTGCATTGCAAAAATGTTGTTCATTTCTGTACCTGTAAGATTCTATACAATTATCCTCCGGCAGTAGAGATGGGAACAAACTAATTTACCATAACACACAATATGCAAAAACAAACACTGCATGTCACAATGACTATTAAGAGGGTATGCTGGTGGAAGACAGAGACTTGTCACAGCAGAAATAAGAGATAAACCTACAACGATTAACACTGAAAGAGATACATAGGCATATGACAAAATAAATGAAAGAGATGAAATTGGCAACTTATAAAGATAAAAACACAAATAAGGCGATTTTTTTTTATAATCGTGTTTTTGAGGCCGCCCGCTTTTTAAAAAAATGAAAAAACACCAAAAACCAAACATACTGCTAAAGTTACATTTTTCGGGAAAAATAAAATAGAATATAAAAACTGGCGGCCGCCTGGCGATAATCTTGAAAAATAGCCCGGTCGGACGGACGTCTTAGAAAATGAGCTGAGCGGCCATTTTTTTTTAAAAAGGGCCTCCTCCTATCATTTTTTCAAAAAGGAAGCACGCTAAACATGTTTTTTAAAAAATTATTTAGCCTATACAATAACTGCAAAGTCCTTGACTCTTTATGAGCACAAAAAAAGTAACAAGTCGTTAGATTTGTTGTAAGTAAACTTTTCGTGTGAGAGATATATTGCAACGCGTGACATCACTCTACGAAAGCAATGTTTTTTGTATGGTGTGCCTTTTAAAATTTAAAAACATATAGTTACTTACTTGTTGGAATGTTGGAGAATGCAAAAGTCTTCAGCTGTTTTCCCATTCGTGTCTGTACAATAGAGGTATACAAGATCGTAAATGTAAACATGCAAAGTGAAATACACAAATGAACTACAAATAAACATCTCTCCTTTACTACAAATACATACCTTCCAGATGTTTTCTGTCATAAATTCATAATTATATTGTAACTGTTTTTCACCAAATTTGGTCCATCTGATAAGTTTGTCGTCGTTGTTCTACTAGACTAATAACACTAAAATAAACAAATAAATGTATTTATCCATCCTCAGATAAACTGAAAATATAAAGGGAACTTACATGGGTACAGGAGAACATTCACTTCATAACACTGACTAACCTGTTCGATATCCCAGTTATTCAATGACACCGATTCAATAGACTGAACTAATAATTGCATTGTGCCGAATGGCTTGGAATCGGTCGATTTGGAGTCGGTTAAGGCGCCTGTTGTACAAAGTAGCAACATGAATGGCGATAGGTTTTACAAATCAAACCTAAAGTGAAGGTACAAACAGCAATGAGAAGTATTGGATGCTTAATTAAATCTCAATGGCTCAGTAGCACCACCAAACAACCTCCAAACCAACCGATTCCTGTTCAATAAGAGGGTTTTATTCGGTCCTTTGTTCGTCTGGTGTCGGTCTTGTCGGTTTGGCTTAGGTAATACGCTGACTTGGGAGAATATAGCATCGAGCGATATTTCGTGTCACATTGTCGTTCACAGGTGCCATTTTCATTAATGACAATTTGCTTTAAATTGAATCAATACCACGCGGCTGTTGTTTTCGTGTTGTGACATTCACATGCAGGCTTTTATACAAAAACACGTATGCTATTTACAGGCGCGGATCCAGGATTTCTTAGGGGAGGGGGCCCAACTTTTTTTTTTTTTGCTCCCGAAAATTTGAAAATCGCGCCGGCCGAAAAGTCGCTCAGGGGGGGGGGGGGGGGGGAGGGGGGGGGAGGGGGGGTACAGAGCCCATTTTTTTTTTTTTTTGCTCCCGAAAATTTGAAAACGCGCCGGCCAAAAATTCGCTCAGTGGGGGGGGGGGGGGGGGGGGGGGGGGTAGTGAGCACATTTTTTTTTTTTTTTGATCCTCAAAAAAAAATTCAATTTGCACCCCCCCCCCCCCCCCCCCCTTGAGCGCCAGGGGGGGGGAGGGGCCCAACCCCCAAAAAAGGTAAAAATCACGTGATTTCAGGCTGGATCCGCCACTGGCTATTTATGCATTACTGTATAACCGATATCTTGAATTTTGAAACGAATAGGATACAGAAATGCGACAAATATTGATCAAATTTTAAAAAAGTTTTCGACAAGGATGAAGGGTGAATATATTTTGTGAGTTTTTTTTCCCCATCAAAATAGGATGTTGTCGACGGTAAAAAAAAAAAGTTCCGTAAGTATCGCTCGTTTGACAATGAAACTAGAGTATCAAATATGCATATTTATTTATTGAAACAAATGTACAAGCACATCTGGCTCTTCATGCATCAACACTGAATACACTGATTTTCATCTGATATAACAAAGAATACAAATACATCCACACATGTACAATGGTAAATAAAAGTCATAACATCGACGACGATGAAAACAACAACAACAACAACAATAAAAAAAATAATACAGTAATAATAATAATAATGTTAATTATTATAATTATAATAACATTAGTTCGATTGCCAGTGAATAAAAGAAGGCTGAATATTAATCACTCTAATTTCAACAAGCTCGCTCGAGCATTCAAGAACTTTCTTTCAACCAGAATACCAGATGACATTTAATTTACATCGGTCGAGAGTGGCACATGTATCACGAATACAAAATGTTATTTTAATTTCAATTACATCTTACTAACTAGCCTACTCCTCTAGAAATCAAGATATTTACTTAATTCAATTCAGGTTGTGTTCAAAAATACCAATACATAGGCCTATTGTTAGATGATCGTATTTTAGAATCACCATTTGTAGAGTATAAGGGGGATTAATATTATAGGATTTAATCAAAGAGAACAATATGGGCAAAAAACTTTCAATTCAGGAAATATATCATGATCCATTTCCACTCTCTATTTCATATTCAAGTCCTAGGTATGTCCTATACGTTACCAAATATTCATTAGTTGTATTATGGAATTGTGAATATAAAATGACATAGAAATATAATTTGATTTTGCCTATGTCAAGCTTTAGTAGGGCTATCAAATTGATAAAGAAAGTCATCAGTCTTATAGTTTGGGGTTGGTATCTAGTAACACATGGGACAAAGAGCTTTGACTCGGTCTCATATAAAAGTAAAGACTAAAAACAAAATATCACAAAAACTAGTTAATCAAACATGAAAACAAAATAATAAAAAATTGTCATCGTTAAAAGCAGACTTGTAATTGTTATATAAAAACGTCTATAAGACTATATGAGATGAGAGAAAATCTCTATCTGAGTCACCTCTCTAGTCTCTAGGTCGGGCCATACTGTACACAAAATATATGATAGTAATGTATGGATTTAATTTCACAACGCCCATTTGCAACTCTTTAAAATGAAATAACCAGGAAATAACCAAAAATGAAACTTAGAGAGTGAATCAATTCTCACTAGATTGGAGAAGTGTTATAACTTAACACTGTCTCGCCCTAATGAAATTAACCAGACATGATCAGTATGGCTAATATCCATATGATTTGTCCAGGAATTTTTTCTGTCGTTTCAGCTACATGTATCTCACAACACATTTTTTTCAACCACTTCACAGCCCTCACTACACTTGTGAAATCATCTTGTGTCATTATCAACTTGGAAACCTGAAAGTCATGGCCGAATGATAGATGAAGAGTCCCTGAATCAGGTAAACTAGCTACTGTAATGTAAGTAAAGTAAAATTGGCCCTCATCGATTTCAAAATGTGTTCATTTTCAAGTAGATCTAGCGCAGAACACTCCAGCAAAGCATGGAGTCAATGCTAATGCTTATTGACCTCTAGTGCTGTATACTTGCTGAGAGGCAGCAATTGCACACAATGCACACATTTGCACACTAATGCACAAAATGAATACGTAGTTGCTGATCGGCAAGTTTGACAGTAGACATACGATTTGAATTTTCAAAGTATTTTTTTCAAACATCTGTAAGTTGAAAAGATTGTATTTAACTGCTATTTTATCGGTGTCATCATTGTCATTAAAGTACCGATTTTTGAGTGAAATCAGTTGAGTTGTGTACAGTGGTGTTTGAAATGTTGAGAATCAATTGAGGTCGTCTAAAAAAAAAAATTAATACACAGCCAGGATAATAATGCGGCTATGTGTGGTGCAGAGATGAATTCTTGACAAAGTCCCACAATTCCCACATGATTGTGTTTGGTCCATTGAGGGCAAAAGTATATGGGCTTTTTGCCACTGCATTAAACTTAATACAGCAGCCGCAACATAAATAACATACAGAACAACAAACAGGAGGCCTGTACTTCGAAAGAATAATATATATTAAATGACGAGAACAAAATAACAATGAGAAATTAATGATGATTAGAATCTAGATTCTAGTCTGGGTCTAAATTTAAGGGAAAAGGAAGACGGAAAAGGAAAAGAAGAAAAAAGGATGGAAATGAAAAGAAGGAGAGGAAGAGGAGGAGAAGAAGAAGGAATAGGAAGAGAAGAATGAGAAGAAGGAGAACAAGAACTAGAAGAGGAGGAGGCGCAGGAGGAGGAGGAGGAGGAGGAGGCGCAGGAGGAGCTGGGACTTAGGAGCATTATTACAAGTACAGCAATAGGTGGGGTAGACCGAAAGCTTCAGTCTCTATACCGTCGGTTGTTCCACTGAGACTACGTCTAGCTCCACTAGACCTCCACTAGACCTTCTAGTCTACGCCGAAGGCAAAAATGATTATGAAGGAAAAACTGTGATAACGCCATTACGAACGTGTAGATGGCGCACAGTTTTTCCTTCATAATCATTTTGCCTTCGGCGTAGACTAGAAGGGATGAGATTGACGGCAGCGAGAGTTTAACATGGCTTGCAAGATTTTCAACATGGATGTCGAGCATTATGGCATAAGAGGAGACACATTACATTGGACTATGTCGCTACTTTCCAACAGGCAGCAAGCAGTTGTTGTCAAGGGCTCCCGGTCATCTTGGATGCCTGTTACCTCTGGGGTACCTCAAGGTTCAGTGATCGGACCAGTGATCGGACCAGCCCTCTTTTTGCTATACATCAACGACATCACTGCAAATATCCAGTCCAAGATGCGCCTTTTTGCTGACGATAGTGTGATCTACAGAGAAATTCACACTAAGAATGACACCTCCATCCTTCAGCAAGACCTTCAAACCTTGTCTGACTGGTCAGCGAAATGGTTCATGGCTTTCAATGTCAAGAAGTGCGCCTCCCTTACCATCACGAGGAAAAGAACACCAATACAGCATGACTACCAGATTTCCGACGAGATAATACGAGATAGACAAGTACAAGTATCTCGGGGTAACTGTAACCAAGGACCTTCGATGGAATACACACTGCCAACTCCTACTGAACAAGGCCAACAAAACCCTTGGGTTGCTGCGGAGAACCCTGTCACCATGCACCAAGGATGTGAAGTCAAGAGCATACACAGCCCTGGTTCGACCGCAGCTAGAGTATGGCGCTGAAGCCTGGAACCCCCACACTTCTGGTGCTGCCGAAGGTCTGGAAAGGGTACAGAAAACAGCTGCTCGTTTTGTCTTCCGCGACTACCGAAGATCCACGTCAGCTACAGGGCTTGTTTCCCAGCTGGGATGGGATAAACTGCACACACGTCGTCTTCTAGCACAAAGCACCATGCTCTTTAAAATACACCACCAGCTAGTCAACATTTGTCTTCCTCACCTCATAACCAAAGCTACATACATCAGCAGAAGAGACCACACACTCAAGCTCTCTGTTCCTGAGGCAACAATCGACTCCTACAAGTACTCATTTTACCCCCGCACCATTCGCATCTGGAATCAACTACCATTCACTGCAGTTACTGCCCCAACAGTTGCTGCTTTCCAGATGACCGCCCTCCCTGTCATCAGAGGGTTGGAACCTCCTGTAGGTTCCAGAATGCTGTAAACCATACAGCAGCATGATTATTTTTACTTGCACGTCACTATTTTATTGTATAAAGCAATTGTACACCCTTTTGTTGTCTGCACCTTCACCTGCTGTCACAACACATCCCATCCCAGTATAGCTTGGAAAAGCTGCTTCAGGGATTACCTCATCAAGTATCAAGATTTTGACCCATAATTTCCTTAAAAGGGACCATTAAACAGATTATTTCATCAAGTTAGTAAGTGGAACCGATGTATTATAGCCTAGGCCTAATGTAAAATTGGATATGCACGAGGTAAAATGACATTTTGGGGGATTTTGGGGGCATAACAATACGGCCGTGGCAAGTTTGTTCATGTTTGTGGGAGGGGCCTAACGGCTAAAATCTAGCCGTGATATCTTCAACATAGGCTGGCATAGGCGATCGTTCTGTCTCTATAACCGGAGGTCTAGTGGAGCCAGACGTAGTCTCAGTGGAACAACCGACGGTATAGAGACTGAAGCTTTCGGTCTATAGGTGGGGCTACACTGACAGCATATATCATCGCCTCACATGTAGCCGATCTAATTTAGTGTGCTTAACAATAAATACCAGTAATCTATCACCAACAAATAATAACACAATGTAATATCTTACCGATCTGATATTTTGCAGTGAAATATCTTTCGAGAAAAGAGGGGAAAACCTCATGTTTGATGGTCTTGTCTTCTGTCACACTTTGCACCATGGAAGCTGCCATTTTGAATGACTTGTATTTGTCTGCAGAGGGCGACATCAGGCTTTTGATCGAGACAAGTTATTGATCATGCTCGAAATGTTAAATTATGTCCCTTTTTTCTTCTTTCTCGTCTTCGTTTATGATCTCAGGGTCTTCTTCTTCTTCTGCTGCCTCTAAATCTCATCCTCCTCATCACCTTCTTATTTTTCTTTTGTTTTCTTTCTTCTTCTCATTATTTCTTCTTGCTTTTGTTCTTCCTTTTCTTGTTGCTGTTAGTGTCCTCGTTGTTGTTCTTCTTGTTGTTCTTCTTCTTTTTCTTGTTCTCCTTCTCCTTCTTCTGAAACTTCTTCCTTCTCCCAAACTCCTCTTCTCTTCTTTTCTATTTTCTTCTTGTAGTTTTCCCTTGTATGATTTTAGTAATTTTTTCATCTGGTAAAATGAAGAAAAACAATGATGTGAGGGGGTTTTTTTTACGTTAAATTTTTAAGCCGATGGGCATAGTGAAATTATCGAGACCAATAATTCTACCTTCATTTGTCTAATCATAAGTTTGTTTATCGGAAATTCAATATTTTGACGACAATTCTCGCACAGGTAAAATAACAAAGGGGTGAAAAACACAACTTAAAACTGTTTTTTTATACTGGCTGCGGTGTGTAAGCGTTTTCAGACAAAATGAATCACTAACAGTTAAATATTATCAAAGGAAAATTTACATTTTAATTTTGAAAGGTATTATTTTGGAGGTATATTGTTGTTGTTTCATATAGTCTTTGTTTTCTCAGTTACGAGTTCGTTTTCCTGCTTGTTTGTTTTTCGTTCAAAGTAACATAGTTTACAGACGAAAAGAGCTTCTTTGTTAGCCTGAGGCTAGGTATCCCAAAATATCCACAGAATATATTTTATACATACAAATTGAATAACAAAAACAAATCAGATGTTCTTCTTGTCTAAATATAAAAAGGAGGTATTCGTGTGTGAATGAAAGTATTTCCCCGATGTTACCTTTAACTAAAAAATGTTTGTACATCAATTTTGTTTTGATGGCATGATAAACTGGTGTCAGGTGTCTCTTCAATTGCAAAGTACAGCTGAAAGAAAGGAGTTTCCCTCATTGTTAAGGTTAATGGAGATTCAAATACACTCAGCAAAACAGAAATTGGGCACTCATTATTGTTCAACTTTCATAAAAACCGTCAATAAAAATAATATTCTACCAACATCAATTCAAATAAAGTTTTGCACTAACACGCTTGGATGGCATATTCATTTAATTTGATATAGAAATGATTAAATTACAAATCTGGACAAAAAACTATTGCAATAGAAACAATGACAGAAAGAAAAAAAATGATCGAGAAAGAAAGAAAAAAAATCGAAACTGAACGAAAAAAACCTAGAAGAAATCTTATAGATCCTCTTTCGCTTTGCACTTTCATTTCCTGCAATCAATCATACTTAAATAGTCTCAATGGTCGCGTGTTGTAATATTCACAATGATTTGAGCTCCTGCGAAACTGTACAACAGATAAGATGATAAATTTTATTCTCGTATGGGTCTCGTATCTAAAGGACAGAAGTTTCGTCGTTTCGCACCGCCGACTCCTTTCTGTTGGCTATTCTCACATCCTTTGCTTCCCATACATCACAATAGTAGAATCACGTGACCCCTTGGGTTGCGCTGGGTCAGGGGTTTAATCAAGCCCGAGGGCAACTTCACCGTCTCTTGGGACTTTAATGCCTTGTTTGGGCATAAAGCCTAGAATGAATATTAAGGCTTTCTTATATTATTCATGGATACATGTACACGCATAGAGCAGGAAATTGAGGCATGATTTCTTGTCATGACAGGAGGGAGGTCAAACGTATTTTTTAAAAATGTGTTAATAGGACATACGACAAAATGAATTAAATTAACAGGCATCCTACATCTTCAAAAAAGAAGAGTTTGCATTTGTTGTATAGTTGCAGTTGCAGAAGTAGACAAAATAAAGCGACGACAGAAAAGTGGGGTTAATGAAATTAATCAAAACGACACCTCTTTATATATATTTTTAAAAAAATTGCGAGAGAACAGAAAGAGATTTGAAAATAGTATCCTAAATTTTCAATCTCGGTCAGGCAATTTTTGTCTGCATTTTGTCTTTCTTCATTATTGAACATTTCCCATAAAGGGTGTACCCTTATCCCTTGGTCCCAACCTAGGCTTTAGCCGATGCCATAGTTTGTCGTACGCCCCATTGAAAGTTTGTATATTCTAGCACTTTTAAACACAATGAATAATCAAATATGAAATACCAATCGATATCATACATTATGGAAGAGAATTGAACAGAATTCAAAGGACACTAAATGTACAATATTATGTGTAATTATCATGCGAGTGAGCTTAGCGACCGCGAGGAACATTGTCATGTTTTAAGACTCCCTTAATTTGTTATCAGTTGATGTTATTCCATGCCATACATAGGCTGATACAAAAATCGGTCTTTAATACAAAAGTGGATTAGGCCTACTTGTTATGCATTTTCAATTGTGCATCAGAAATTGAATAAAACGGATTCTACAACATTCAGTATGATTCATTAATCCAGAGAGCTCTCTATACTTAAAGTCTAAATCATAAATGTTCATCTTTTAAGAAAATTCTGGGCGAGGGAGACTACGTAGTCAAAAGGAAGTGTCCCTCCCCTCTCCTGATTTCTTAAACAAAATTATTTGGTTTTCAGAACCGGGGGTGGGGGAGGGGGTATTACAAGAACAAATAGTTAAAATGCCGCAAGCCTTTCCATGCATGCTATTTATGTCCTGGGTGTCCGGGGTGATGGAGCTATTAACATTCGTTCTCTTATTTTTGTATTTATTTATTTATTTGTAGTTTTTCTTTTTGTACAGGGTAGGCTTATACCATTGACGGTTATCGATTTTGAAAAAGCTTGTTTTTTGCGAGAGGGGGACGTCCCCTTTGTAGCCTACTGGATCCGCCAAAAGGTTTGTATTTATTCTGCGAACAATATCGTGCCATATTGTCTTATCACAATTTAATACTGACCTTAGTTTAGAGAAAAACAACGGTCTGATTGAAAAGACTATAATATTCCAGCGATGTCTGAGGATATAATGAGCGGCAGGATGGAACGACGCGTCCCTGGAAATCATTTAATATTCATATCACGCAAAGGAAGAAGAAAAAAATCGAAGAGCAGATAAGAGCGGAAAGATAAGGGTCACAAGTATGGCAAGCCAATACTCAAATGAAGCGAAACAACTCTGTTTATCGCCAAAAATGTAAGTAATATCGGAGCTAAACAGAGTTTTTCGAGAGTAACTGTGCTTATCGAGAGAAACTGTGCTTATCGAACGATACATTTAATTTCTCTAGGAAAAACTCTGTTTATCATCGAAAAAAAACTTAGTTTGTCATTTTAATGCGCATTTTGCTTACCACGTACAGGAGCTCCTCTCTGTTTATGAGGGGAAAGGGGGAAAGAAACATAGGAATAAAGCAGACGGGCAGACAGTGTGATCGTCTTGGTATGGTTTCAACGGCGGGCTCGTGGGAGAGGCGCGGGGAAGTGCAGGGGTGGAAACGAGAAGAACGCATTACTCTCCTGCTGCCTGCTCCAGCTTTACAAATGCATGTTTGCATTCAGTCCCTGTACATACAGAAAAGTAATTTGATTTCGAATGTCGCATTAAAGGCTTGATGTATTTAACGGCAATGAATGATTTATTTGGGAAAGACCACTGTAGCGAATAAACAGACCTGTATTGTGAAATTGACATTTATGTTCTATACAAATTTGGATTGCTCAATATCCAAGAATGCATCCGAAAACGTACCAGTGCTGAAGGGCGTAATAAGCAAACATTGTAATATCGAATATGATGTTTTTTAAATATATTTTTTAAACAATAATTTACATAAATATCCGTCTACAAATACCGTTCGGCTTTTCCAGTGACTTCCGCATCAGCATAATCACCATCACTATTACCATCATCATCATCATCATCATCATCATCATCATCATCACAACAACAGTGTCATTTGAATGGAAAAAAGGAGATATTAAAAACGGACAAAATAATACAAAGAAAAGATACAAATGTTTGTTCAGAATATATTCTCTTCTCGATTAATGAGAGAAAAGATGACATGTAAATGTTTTCTAGTTTCTAGGAAACGGGATTACAAAATAGACCAATTGTTTTCTTGTTTGTTTGTTTGTTGATTTTTTTTAAATTTGCTTTCCTCTGTTTCATTCGTGTTATTTATTTGCTTTCCTCTGTTTTATTTGTATTTTTTTATTTGCTTTCTTCTGTTTTTGTTTTTGTTTAAGATTTGCTTTCTTTCATTTCGTTTTTGTCCTCCATTTGTGCTCCATCTTAAAAGAAATAGAAATACGCTCAATGTGTTATATACCTCTCAGTCACACCGCCATACCGACCCCAAAAGGGCCCTAACCGACCATAAACCGACAAAATATGTGCACGCAGACATCGGCAGGGTTCAGTTTGCTGTCAGCTTTAAGTCGGTCTGTTATTGGGGTTGTCGGCCTGTAGACAGTTTATTGTCAGGTTCAAGAAATTCTTTGGCTATGATCTTTCAAACATGCTCGAAAGATCCATCATAGCGAAATTTGAAAAATTGTATCGGTCTGTTGTCGGTCTTTTCGATGTTACTGCAGTAATAGATGTAGATACTTTATGTTTTTTAAATATCGTCTGGCATTTGTATTTCTCTATGATAACGAACGATAAACATTCTGTAACGGAAACCACATTCTTGTTTCAAGATTATCACCACAAATTTTTATGATTTTATATCAGGTTTTGTAGTTTTGGGTTTATTTAGGTCTAACATCCCTGTTCGATGTAATCACGATATGGTTTAATTTCTGTACTCATCGTCTTTCTGTCGTGATATCTATTGATTATCTGTTGTGCAATGCTACATGAAAAGAAACAGAGAAAAGATTTTTTTTTTATCCTAGCCTACAACACATTCTGATTCTATCAAGGAAAATTGTACATCAATCGGTATCAGAAAATGACAAAATATTATAACACAAAATTAATGGATAAAACGTTGCGTGTGTGTGTATTTTTAACATCAGAAATTCGAGTTAGTATAAAAAAGCCGAACAACAAGTTAAGAGTTATAGAAGTTATACAATTGGACGGCATTTGCACAATTCTTTTGGATATTCCATTATATAGTCCTCTAAGATAAACAGTGAATTGGTATCATATTGAGGTTCAATATTTGAATGTTTTCATTTAGATA